CCCCTCCCCCCCAGCCCCCCAGCCCCCCATCCCCAGCCCCCGCCGACCCCCGTCCGTGTCCCGGCGCAGATGGAGCGCGAGGAGGAGACGCGGGAGATCCTCCTGCCCAACTGGCAGGGCAGCGGCTCCCACGGCATCACCATCGACCAGACCGACCGCGGCGTCTTCGTGCGCCGCGTCCAGCAGAACTCGCCGGCCGCCCGCATGGGCGTCGTCAAGGAAGGTGGGGACACCCGGGGGGGCTTTGGGGACGTCCTGGTGGCATCTCGGGGGCTTCTGCTCCATCCCCGTGGGTGGTGACCCCGTGGTTCGAGTGCTGGGGACCCAAATCTTGCCCAAACCTGAAGAAATTTGGGTTAAAATTTGAGTTCTGGGGATCTTTGGGACATCCTGGTGGCATCTCAGGAGCTTCTGTCTCCGTCCTCATGGGTGGTGACCCCATGGTCAGTCACAGTGGGGATGGGGAGTTCATCCCTCAGAGTTTTGGGGTTCAAAACCGGATTTTTGGGGATCTTTGGGGACATCCTGGTGGCATCTCGGGGGCTTCTGCTCCATCCCCGTGGGTAGTGACCCCACGGTTCGAGTGCTGGGGATCCAAATCTTGCCCAAACCTGAAGAAATTTGGGTTAAAATTGGATTTTTGGGGATCTTTGGGACATCCTGGTGACATCTCGGGAGCTTCTGCTCCATCCCCGTGGGTGGTGACCCCATGGTTCGAGTGCTGGGGATCCAAATCTTGCCCAAACCTGAAGAAATTTGGGTTAAAATTTGAGTTCTGGGGATCTCTGGGACATCCTGGTGGCATCTCAGGAGCTTCTGTCTCCGTCCTCATGGGTGGTGACCCCGTGGTCAGTCACAGTGGGGATGGGGGGTTCATCCCTCAGAGTTTTGGGGTTCAAAACCGGATTTTTGGGGTCATTTGGATTTTTGGGGTCGTTGGGTCCTTTCTGGTGGCATCTCAGGAGCTTCTGCTCCATCCCCGTGGGTGGTGACCCCATGGTCAGTCACAGTGGGGACAGGATGGGTCCCCAAAGCCCTGACATGTCCTCCCTGTGTGTCCCCATGTGTCCCCGTGTGTCCCCCATGTGTCCCCCATGTGTCCCCATGTGTCCCCGTGTGTTCCCACATATCCCCCCGTGTCCCCACATGTCCCCACATGTCCCCGGTGTCCCCGTGTGTCCCCCAGGGGATCAGATCGTCAGTGCCACCGTCTACTTTGACAACCTGCAGTCGGGGGAGGTGGCGCAGCTGCTGCAGAGCGTGGGCCACCACACGCTGGGGCTG